GTGTGTGAAGTGATTTGGAAAAAAAAAAAAAAATTAGTTTTTGGTGTGGGTGTACTGAAATAAAACCCCAGTATCTTAGATGGTTTTTTTTATTATAATTTAACATATAAATTCAAAAAATTAAATAAATAAAATATTCAGAAAAAAAAAAAAAAAATAAAAAAAAAAAAATATTAATAATTTAAAAAAATAAAAAAATAAAATTGGAAAAAAGATTTTTTATAAATATTAGAAATAAAATTATTTTTTTTAAATTTCTTTTTTTTTTTCTTTTTTTTTTGTTTTTTTTTTAAAATAATAATTATTATAATTATAATTTTTTCATAATTTTTTTTTTATAAAGAAGAATAAAACTTACAAATTTCAATAGAAATATTATTTTTTTATGTATTTAAAATATATAGATATAAAGAATGATAATCAGATATTGAATAATAGTTAATAGTAATAATAATAATAACAATAATATAACATAGAATTAGTAATAGTAGCAAAATTTTTTTTCAATAAAAATTAAAAAAAAAAATATTAGTTTTTTTTTTTTTTTAAATATATATAAATAATAAAGATAGAAGTTCATAAATATAAAAAAAAATTCAAAATAATAATGAATGGTTTAAATATTAATAGTAATAATAAAACCAAGAATAATAGTAGTGGTATAGGGGTAATCGAAGAGAATGGATTGTTAATGAAGGATAGTAGCGAAGATGATTATAAGAATTTGTTACAAAATAGTCAAATTAGTATAAAGAGTAGCAGCATCAATGTCGAGGATGATGGAAATAAGAGGACACCATTTTTAGTGTTAGCATATTTGTATTTTATAGTTATTGCAAGTGTTTTAGGTACAGGTATTTTAGGTTTACCAGTAAAATTGTCACACAGTGGTTTCAAACCGTTTGTTGCCTCATATACGTTGTGTTTCTTTATGCAATTATTATCAATTTTCTTTTTGATTGAAGTTCTTCAAAGAATATATTCAATTATTAAGGCAAATTCAATTTTATCAACAAATAGTTTTTCTTCATCACCAATTGATGACAGATCTCGTAACGAAATTGATGTAGATAATACAGGTATACCAAAGAATAATATTCAGTTGGATATTTTAAATCATAATAGTGGTACTGCTGGAAGAAGGATTATTAACAGTAGCAGCGGAGTTTCACCAGATTTAAATAATGAAAATAATAATGATACAAGCGAACTATCAGAATCCACTGATATTAAAGCATCTTCAAATGGTGGCTCATCAATAAAATCATCCCCAACTTTAAATGATAGAAGCGAAGGGGATAACGACGAAGAAACAATGATGAATGAAAAATTAGAAAAAGAAAACAGAGAAGATAATGAAAATTTAATTCAAAAAGAAGAGCAAGAGGAGGAAACCAAACAAGCACATTCATCCACAGAAAAAGAAACCGAAACACCAAACCTTCATATTATTGGTTTGAAGTTCTTAGGTCCAATTTCATATGCTTTTTTTATATTTTCAGTTCTTTTACATTTGTAAGTAAATTATTTTAATATTATTTTTTTATTTTAAAATAAAATTTATTAATATAAAATTTTATTTTAGTTGTTCTGTATTGATTGGTTATGGTTTAGCAGGTTCAGAAGCATATGCCCAATTGTTTAGTATTGACCATTCCTTTTTAATTTTCCCAGTAATTTTATTGTTTACAATAATTGTAATTTTTGGTTCCAAATCTCTTGGCCGTATTATTACATTGTTTACTTTTGCAAAAGGAACCCTTTTAATGATAATTGTATTTATAACTGGCATCATTTCAAATCATGTACAAAATAACATCAGTAATGATTGGTCATATATCGGCAAGTCATTCTTAATTTCAACTGTAGCATTAGGTGGAGCAAGTAGTGTTTTACCAGTAGTATTCCCAAAAATAGTTTTCACCAAAAGAGAAATAAAGAAATGTTACACTGTTGCAGGCTCAGCTTTATTTACTGTTTATATTTTAAATATCATTTGGTGTTGGTTTTTACTTCAAATTATTCCTCAAGTTCCAAACCCCAATAACCCAGGTTTTCCATCTTTAGAGGAAGCAGCTATCCATGGTGAGATTGCCACCATTCCATTAATGAAGGTTGTATCTGAAAGTTTCCCACAGTTTCTTTGGATCGCTTATTTGGTCAATATCTTTATAGTTATATCCATCACTATCAGTTTCATCACAGTCGGTACTGGTTTCAAACATACACTCGACGGTTTTAGTATAACTTGGCGTAAAAAAAGTTTATCGAATTCTTATCATGAAGAAGAGGATGGTGACGAATTTTATAACAATACAAATAGCGGTAGTGGTCTCGGTAATGCCAATCCTATTACCCAGTCTCACGACGAAGACGATAACGATTTATTAGTTTTACCAGCATCTGTCCAAGATAGTATTAATGGCAGCAATAATAAATTATCAACCAAATTTAAAATAATGGTCGAAAGAATTAAATATAAAATAATTCATCAAACAAGAAAAGCAAAATTATGGATATATTCAAAAATTAATTTAGTAAATTCAAAAATCGACGATAAAGAAGGTCAATCAACAATGGAACAAAACTTTTCAGTTCGTTTCCCAATAAGAGAATTCATATTCTACATTGGTTTCTTTGGTTTCATTCTCTTGGTAGCTTTAATGAATCCAAAAGGTTTCTTACAAGTTATGGAATCAGGTACATCACTAGGTCTCAATTTACAATCAGGTACATTTATGGTAATGATGTTACAATTCGCTAGAAGTCATTATGGTCAATATTCTATTCCTTTACCTGTTCATAATTATATTTATAATTTACGTTATTTTGTTTTTGCATATTTTACATTTGCTGTATTATATGATTTTTATGTTATATTATTTTAAAATATAGTATATAATAATAAACTAAAACTAAAACTAAAATAAAATATTTTACAATAATGTAATTAAAAAAAAAAAAAAAAAAAATTATTTGATGGCTTTTTAAAAAGATATTTTTATAATAATAATTTTTTTTTCCATAAATTTATTTTTTTTATTTTTTTTATTTTATTTTTTTTTTTTCATTTTTATAAATTAAAACACACAATATATCTTTTTTTTTTTTTTTTATACATATAATTTTTTATAAACTATATATTTAATAAATAATCATGTCTAGTACCAAAAGTATAACATCCAAGTTTGAAAAGGTTTGTATGGTTTATTTTCTTTTATTTTTATATTGCAATTTCTTACATTTAAATTATATTTTTATATTATTATAGGAAATCGAAAAGCAAAAAGAAGGTTCTCTTGGTAAAAAAGAAAAAGTAAATAAATAAATAAATAATATTTAAATATACAATATTAAATACATACTAATAGTTTTCTTTTTCTTTATATTTAGGTTTGGGCACCTCATAAAGGTAAATTTTTTATTTAAAAAAAAGATACTTTTAAATTATAGTTTTATTAACCCTATATTTTTTATTTATTTAAAGATGATTCATATCAAAAACAAACAAAAACAACATTTAGCGGTAAACCAGCAGCAGGTCCACCACCACCAAAGAAATCAATTGATCAATTACCATAAAATAATTTATAATACTTTAAATTCTTAAAACAAGAAATAATAAATTTAGAATAATAATAAAAGAATGTAAATAATATTCAGTTTTAATAACATAGAAAAGAAAAAAAAATAAACTATTAGTTTTTTAGGTTAATAAAAAAAGAGAAACTTTATAGTTTTATTAATACAATAGAGTTAATTTATTTTGTTTATTTTATTTTTAAATTAATTTAACATAAAATCAATTTCAAAGCTATCTGATAATGGGAGTGATAAATTTGAAACAATAAGAGTTGTTTCAGTGACAGAGTCAAAGGTATTGATAGCATTACCATTGACCAAGACTTGTTTGACATTTGGTGAACCATAGATTTCAATATTATTGATGTTTAATTCAGAGGTACCGTTATAACCATTGGCAACAATTGATGATTGTAATTTGTAGACTGATGAAGTGGTACTAACGACATTAAATTCGATGAATGAGTATTCATTGTTTACATAGGTTTGGAGTGATGAACCATCATCAAGGAATAATTGACCTGAAGCTTGGAGTGATGAATCGAGGGCAACAATTAAAGTGAATGGTAATTTTCTAGCGATAGTAGTGGTGATTGGAATACCATTTGGTGGTGGTACATAGCCTGAAGTTGGTTGGGTTGGGATGATATTACCACCACGAAGATGAACATTAATCTTTTCAAATGGGGCATCTAAAGTAACAAAACCAGTTGATTCTACCAATGAGCCGTTTGCGCCATATTCATACCAAATATCATCTGGGAAATAAGCATTAACAGTTACGGCACCTTGTTCTAAAACTGGTGATACTAATAAACTAGTACCTACAAGGAATTGTTTATCGATTGAAACGGTGTTTGAATCGGTTGGGTATTCAAAGAACAATGGTCTAACGACTGGGTCACCTGATAAATGTGAGATGTGGAAGAGGGTGTAATAGAATGGTAATAAGGTTAATTTGGTATTGATTGATTTGATTGCAATATCAACAACTTGTTGACCCCAAACCCATGGTTCTTGTGGGATACTGAGGAAGCTATTATGAACTCTGGTGAATGGATAAAAGTTACCCAATTGAAGCCATCTGCCACAGAGCTCTGCGTTAGAGTTGCCATTGAAACCACAAATATCGGCACCAACTAATGGAATACCAAACATATTCATAGCAAGCATACCTGGAATTGAGAAGTAAAGGTCATTGTAACTACTTTCATTATCACCTAACCAATGGGCAAAGTGTCCACCTGTGCCTGGGAAAGTGCTTCTAGAGATAATGGTTGAACGAGTACCAAGAATTGATTGAGCGGCTATTTGAGTGGCCATACCTTCGGTGTAACCATAGATACTGTGTGAATTATAAACTAAGGTGTTATTATATTGAGTTGAAGTCATATTGATGGTCTTCATGTATAATGGTGATCCTCCTGGAATATATGGTGGATAGTTTGGATCAAATCCTGGCATTTTTTTATGATTATTGTTGAAACAATTACCATCACAAAAGTTACTAATTTCATTCATATCGATCCAAATACCATCAAATGGAACTATTTTGTGGAAATTAGCAAATTGTTCTGTCCAATACTCTGTAGCATTTGGATGGAGGAAATCTGGGAAAATAACATAACCTGGCCATACTGAACCAACTAATGGTGCATCTGTGCCACCTGCTTTAATATATGCACCTGAATTAACTAAATCGATATAAGATTGATAGGTTGGATCTGTGTTTGAAATACCTGGATCGACAATCATCATATAGTGTTGATTATTGGCATGAAGGGAGTCAACAAAAGCAGTAAAATCTTCTGCTGCAAAATTAACTGGATCTGTTGAAAAATCTCTATATTGGTCCATATAATCGATATCATTCCACATAGTTTCTAATGGAATACCAAATTTACTATAATTTGCAACAACTTGAGCAGTTTCTGCAATTGAATGATAACCCCAACGACAATTATGGAAACTAAAATAATATAAATAGTATTAGTATTTTTATTATTATCATCAATATCACTAAAATTAAAATAATTTTATTTACCCTAAACTCCAATAAGTTGGCATATGAGTTGTTCCAATAACTTGGGTATATTGTTGAATAACTGAATTTGGTGTTGGACCAGTAAAGAAGAAGAAATCGAAAATACCACCAACTACTTTATAAGTTAATGAATTTGAAGTAATTTGTACATCCATTGCATTGGAGTTTAATAAAAATACACCATTTGCATTACCGTTGGATGCAAGATTAAGATAAAAGGGATGTGAACCATAAAGATTAATATTTGGAGTACTGGCAGTACCTTGATCTTTTGCAAATAATGTGTAGGTAAAGTTATTTAATAATCTTAATTGTGATGTTCTTTCACCTAAACCATAAATATTTGGATTATTTTCACTAAATGATGTACTTAATTCTAAATAATAATCTGAATACTATAAAATCATCATAATGAAATTAATAAAAAGTTTAAAACATAAAATGAAACCTATATTTATTATACATACAATTAAACCATTAGTTGAACAATCAGCTGGTGGGGTGCTATTGAATAAAACTTCACCTGTTGAAATACGGGTAGCACTAAAGCCGAATGGTGCGTTTGTAAATTGGATTAAATAATCGGTGGTATCTGGATTAACTCCGACCAATTTATTAACGAATGGGACTATACAATAATAATATATTATATTAATATTAATATGAATTTAATTTATTTTTATTTTTTATTTTATTTTATTTTTAAAAAACCATAATTATATGATATGATACATACCCTCCCATCTTTGATTATTTGGATCGGTGATTCTAACTCTGAAAATTTGTTGGGTTTCAAAAGTTAATTGGAAATCTAAAGTTTTAATATCGTTACCATATGGTCCTGGTGAGATTAAATTAAGGGTTGCTTCATAACCATTTGCTGTTTTACTGACACCTTTTGTTGAATAGCCTGGGTATTTACATGCTTGATTTACAACTCTAGCATTACAACTGGACAATGTTAAATAAAATGCTATTAACAATACAATTAAATTCTTTATTACTTTCATTTTTAAACAATAATAACTTTTAATGATTAATAAAACTTAATTTATTATGTCAATTATTATTATTACCTAATTAATGAATATATATAAAAAAAAAAAAATTAAAAAAAATATTTTAAATTTTTAAAAAAAAATAAAATTTTAAATTTTAAAAAAAAAAAAATTAAAAAAATGATTTATTGGATTTTTTTATTTATTTTATAAGGTGGATGAAGGAAAAATATTCGGTAATTTGGTGTGTCCCAGAGATACACCATTTTCGAAAATAATTTACCAGTGGAAACAATACCAATATAAAATTATTATTTTTTTTAAATAAAATATTATTTCTTAAAAATCAAATGTTATCATTCGAATTGTATGCATTTTTATGATAATCGTTTCATATATGTTCGTTTTTTGTTTAATTTGTTCATTTTACCATTCACCCTTTTTTTTTTTTTTCAGTTAATAATAAATAAATAATTTATTTCAAAAATAATGTTTTTGTAAAAAAAAAACATAAGAAAAAACAAAATAAAAAAAATAGTGATGTTAAACAGTTACACTGTTATATCACCACTTTATAAAAATATCTTTTTATAAAATAATTCAATCATACTAAAATATTAATAATATTTATAATAACCATTTTAGAAACTTCCCTAAATAGCAGTTTTGTTTTTTTTTATATAAAATACAAATCTATTAGATCTTGTACATATTCATATTTAGAATATATAAAATCAACATTAAATTTATTTTTTTTGTATTAAAAGAGGTTTGGATTTTTTTATTTATTTTTATTTTTTTCTATATTTAAATTCACCCACCAATATGCCTTTTAAAAATGATTAATTTTTTTTTTTATTTATTTTATTTTATTTTATGGTTTAACCTTTATCTTTGTCCTTAGTATGGTTCTCATTGAGTTTCTGAATCATGTTAGATTGTTTGTTTTAGATAATTAAATATTAGGAATTAAAAAGATTTGTGATAGATAAATAAATAGTTTTAATTGAAAATAATAAAATATTTTAGTTTATTTTATTTAAAGAATAAAAGTGTTTCAAAGCTTTTTCGCATTTGGATATTTTAATATTATAAATTGGATGGATCGGTTCAACTATTTTGCTTTTTGGATCAATTGAAAAAGTATCTGAATTAATGGTTATTGGTGGTACAGTTTGTTCTTGTGTATTTGAATTCATTGTTGTAATAATATTGGGTATATCATTATGTTGTGCTAATGATATTCCCGATAAACTGTAGCATGTATGATAAAAATCTTTATTTCTTGTTGGATGATCGCTAAATCCACTGAAAATTTTATCATGTTGTTGGCAACATCTAATGGTATAATCTAATAACTTTGTTTGATCAAATAGTAATTTTTGATTATTGTTATTGTTATTATTATTATTATTATTATTATTATTATTTAATTGATCATAATAGTTTTGGACTATAATAAAAACAGCACCTTGCCAGTATGAATAGCATGTATCTACTAATTTATTTGTTCTACCTTGAAAACCACCATCCTCTGGTTGCCTAAATGTAATCCATCTCTATAATATGATATTGTTAATATTGGTACGAGATATTAATATATTTGATAAATAGATTTTTCCTTACATGTAATGAGTCCATATCAACTTTATTTAAACTATTCAAAATTGATAGTGCAGAAACAGCACAAAAAGTATAACCACCATGAGCTTCATTACCTGGGAAGGCACCAAAGCCACCTTCATAAGTTTGGCAAGATACCAAAAAATCTACAACGCCATCAATCAACTCATCAGACAAAATATTTAGCATGGATGCTACAGCGATTGCACAATAAGTAGTTCTAGAATCATATTCACCACCATCCTCACTTGTAAATGCACCATCTGAAGTTTTCATACGCATTAAAAATTTGTACATTTCTTCTCTATTGAAAACATTGTAGGCCTCTTCTGTACCAATGGTAAAAAGTGCGCTGGTTGCAGCGAATGTACTAACAACATGGCTTGTATGTGAATTACCACCACCAAATCCACCACCCAACTTATCGTTTTGTAGTATTTTAAAATAGTCACTTGCTCTTTTTGAAATATCTGGGTAATTATCCAATGCGTCTAACATATCCAAACCATGAAATATCCAAAATGATATCCACACTTTACTTGAATCTAATGACTGATGTGAAGCTGGTATAGTTTCTATACCTTTATATAAAAATTTGATAATTTTATCAGTTTCAATGTGTGATCTAAATATTAAAATTTAATTAAAATCTATTAATATCTCCACTTTTGTTTATTATTAGCTCTATATTCTGTTATAATTAAAAGACATACATTGCTTTTTTTGATTTTAATCTTTCTTTAATAGAATCAGTCATTCCATTTTGTGCTATAATTGTGGCTGTTAAATATTCTTGAATATCATTTGGATCATAACCTTCATCAGTGTCAATATCAATTTCTTCAATTGAAGAGGTCATCTTATTATTTTTATTATATTTGTTTCTTTTATTACAAAAAAAATTATGCGAATTATGTAATTTAAAAAATTTTTAAAAAAATTTTATTAAAATAAATTGAAAAATGAAAAAAAAAAATTAAAAAAAATTAAAAAAAGGGTTTTTTTTTCTTTTTTTAATAATTTTTAAAATATTATTTATAAAGGGCTATTTATACAAATATAATAAATAAACATTATTATTCTCTATATTCTATTTTTTAAAAGAATACTATTTTAATTTGATTTTATTTGATTTTTTTTTGAATTTTTCATTTTTCCCATTTTTTTTAATTTAGTTTATTTGTGCGCTTTATTTTTTTTTTATTTTTCATTTTTTTTTTAAAATTTTTTTTTTTTATTAAAATCATGTTATTGGTATAATTAAATTTAATAATGGATAAAGAATTAATTCCATGGGATAGAAGTATAGATATATATTATAAATTATTAAGCACATATGCACCAGTTGAAAAACAACAAAAAAGTGATGTAAACATTATGTCATGTTATTTTTCAAGCGATATTGTGGTACTTAGAGAAATCGTTAAAAAGATACTTTCTTCAATAAGACCCGATTGTTTCAAAGTTACAAATGTATTTCCAAAGACGAATCAGTTCCTAAATTTTAAAAACAATAAAAGCTTTGACCTTGATTCAGCTTTCAGGTATAGACTTGATGCAATGGGTAAAAATATTATTGATGACTGTGATCAAGCAATTTTAGTAATTGACCATTTATCAAGAATCTACGATAGTCATATATTCTCTAAAAATTCTTTACCCACTTTCAAATCATTAGAAACATTGGTTACAAAGTATGGTTACAAGATAAGCCATCGTCGTTTCATTGCGACTGAATGGTATGCATTTTTACAGCAATTTAAAAAAGAATGTGGTGGTTCAAAAGATTTTAGATTAGATGGTGAAGAAGTGTCAAAGAATAACTCGCCAGATCTTATAGGGTTGTTTTCTTTTATTCATGGTGTCCATACTAATCAAAGTGAAGAAGAAATCAAAATTTCTAATATTTTTTCAATTTTCCCATTTTTAGATTTAGAACAAGATAATGGTTCCATTATTCAATTTAAACCACAGGACGAACAGTTTGAAGATTATGATGAACAAGAATCTTTATCAATAGAATTCCCAAAAGAAACAACAACCACCACAATCAGTACTCCCACAAATAAAACTAAAAATTCACCAATAGTATTACCAATATATACACGATCTCGGCCAAATACAAAATCAATTGAAACACCATCGTCATTAAATAAAGAAACAACAGAAATAACCACATCAACACCATCTTATATTAGAATAAAGGATATAATGCAAATAACCACTACCAATGCAACTGCAACACCAATACCAACTCAAAAGGCAACAAAAGTACAAGATAAAAATATTGAATCAATACCTATTACTACCCCGCAATTAGATAAAAAAAGAAAAGCTATCGAACCAACACCCAGAATCAGTACAAGGAAAACGAATAGTCTTCAACATGTTAGAGTTAACAGTTTATCTTTAAAAACAAACAACGATGCTATTGAAAGTGGTGAACAAGAAAAAAAGAAATTAAAACACGATTCTATGGTAGTATTTTGTGATAGTGACGACAGTGACAACGAGAAAAGCTTTAATGGAAAGCCTCCAGTATCATCAAAACCAGCATCAAAACCAGCATCAGCATTGCCAATAGCACTGTCATTACCAATTTTAGTTGACGATGAGAAAACAGACATTATAATTTCGGATAAAATTAAAAATATTTTTACAAGTATTGACAAAAGTGTTTCAAATGCATCTGATGTTAAATCTTTATTTAATATGCTCCAAAAAAAAATATACGACAGTCAATCGTTATATTCATTGCTTTTAAAGAACAAATCCCGAGACTCTGTCATCCTAACCAATGAAACCCTCGAATTAGCAGAAGCCATTGACTATGATGAAATACATTTAGAACTACTCACAGATGAAGTTTATAATATGGCATCAGTATTTTTAATTAGCAAAAACAAAAATATAATTGTTCCAACTATAGTTGATACAGATAAACTAGGATTTCTATGGATCCCAATTGTCGATGGCAAAGTTTCAACATCTCTTTATATAGTACCAAACGAAACCATCCTTGATACATCAAAGGTTAAAGCAATCACAAAATTTATTCAAATGATAATTTCTCTTGCCGATATTGTCTCCTTTTTAAAAAATCAAAGAATAGAACTACCCCTTTTTAAAAGTGTATGCTCTGATTTATCAATGGAACTAGACACTATAATTTTAAGAATTGAAGATCTTGAAAATCAAATAGAACAACAAATTCATAAATATCACTCATTTAGATCTAGAATGGCAAATACTGAGTCTTTAAACGAGCAATCAGTTGCTTTAATAACAAGCGAAAAAGAAAAAATCAATCAAATTAGAAGCTTTGTAGACTCCCATCATTATATTAATTTTTCAAGGTCTCAAGATCCATGCCTATCATTGGTAGACACTAGATTATCAACATTGGTCTTAGAATATAACCCAAGCACGATCCAACATATAGCTGGTTTTTTTGATTTATGTAGTTTAATGGTTTCAAAAACAGATATTTCAGGGTTCAATTTACAAATAGCCTCAATCATGTCATCATTCTTACCAACCAACATTAAAAATCTTTCATTTGAAAGAGAGACTGCATTAAAGGAAAAACTTGCAATGACATTTTCAAACAGTACTGTTCTAAATGAAACCTTTAGGATTCAAAACGTAAAAAGTGTTAAAAGATATTTAACAATTTCTGTAACTAATAAAACCTTCAATGCATGCAGAATTTTTGCCTTTAGTGATGTCAAAAAGGGATTCTCAATTTCAAATTTGAGAAATATATTCAAAGAGAACACAAAGTCATATTCTAGATATATCGAGTATTTCAATGGAACCCACGAAATATTTGCTTTTTTTGCCGCACCATGTATCTTTAAAATTACCAACATCCAGTATTCAGCACCAGAAATAGTCTCTGACAGATTGTTAAGTAGAAAGATCAAATCATTCACATTTAGAAATCTTTCCCCAATCTTAGTTGATATTAAAGTAGGTCAAGAAATTATAACATCCGTTAAACCCGATACCACTCAAAACGTTCAAATTGAATCAAATGAATTTGAATTTACTGTTTCATGTATGAAATTTAGCTTTGGTACAACAATCATCTCAAAAAATAGATTAAACCTTTTGACCGATAAAGAAACTGAAATTAATAATCGTAAAAATATTTTATTGGATAAGATTAACAAATGCGAAGAATTAAAAAAGAAATTTATTAAAGAATTAGATAAAAAACAAATCCCAATATTTGATAACTTTTTGTTGATACCATATTTAAATAATAATAATTAAAAAAAAAAATCAAACTTTCATTTCAATAATATAATAATCATTTTAATTAATCATTTTATATTATATGTACAAATAAATAAAAAAGAAATAAATAATAAAAATAAAAAGAATGTTATAATTTGTTTTAAAATTTCTGAATTTTTTTATTGTTTCAATTGCTATTGCTGCTATTGTCATTCTTATTCATGATACTACAGTATACTATATATCTCGGGCACTGTATATTTTACCAGTATAATTTATTAAAATAAATGTTCGAATATAATTTTCATTCTAACTTACTTGATATTATGCCATATTTAAAGTTTTTAATAAAAAAACCTTAATTAAGGTTATAATATAAAAAATATTATTTATAAAAGAACATAGGCCAACTTTATTGAAAACACTGTTCAATAAAAACATCAATTTTTGTTGAACAATATAAAGATATTATTTATTACCAATTAATTCTGAATCGAATCATATATTGTTTTCAATATCGTATTGAGAATACAATTAAAACTAATCAAAAAATCCTGAATAACATTGTGTAATCTTGTCAAAGCTTTATAAAAATAAGATTTTTTTTTATGTTTGATTAAATCCCGGTTTGATAAAACCTTCACACATAGATTCCTTTTAAAATTATGAACCAAACGGCTTAGTTACTTTTTTAAATTAATTCAATTTTGATATATAAAAATAAAAAATAGTTATATTGATAAACTATAAAATTTAAAAAAAAAAAAAAAAAAAATTTTTAAAAAAAAAATATATGCCGGATATATAAAATAAAAAAAAAAAAAAATAAAAAAAAAAAAAAGTTTAGTATTTTTTTATATTTTCTAAACAGTACAGCTTAGTACCATTTTAGTGATTCTAATTAAACTTTTACCAATTTATGTATTTAATAATACAGTTTCTAGATGTACTACTTTTATTCGATCCCCTATTTGTTTTTAATAAAAACAATATACAAAAGTTATTATAATATAAAAAAAAACTTAGTTTTTTTATGAAAAAATGAATGTTTTTTTTAAAGACTGTAACTGCGATAAATATCGATTATACGAATCGATAGATAATTAAAATATGAGTATAATGATATAAGTTTTATAATACCGTATTTTTGTTTGTTCAAATTTTTTTGACTTTTAAATTTGAATATAACATAATTACATATAAATTTTTTTTTTTTTTTTCAAAGATTGTGATAATCCCCCTATTCAATGAAACCTTTTAATAATAGACTCTTATAACAATTAAAGTTTAAATACAAAGTTTGGCTTTGTCAATCCTTATTTTAACATACATCTAAAATGTAATTTTTATAGAAAAATGTCTGACACTAAAAATTCGAATAATGATAATAGAAAATATATAAAATTTTAAATTCCTTAAACAAAATCTATATGGATGATCATAACTCGTTGAGATGTATCTATTTATACTTGTTTCGATGATTAAATTCAGCGTCTAAGATTTATCTTTTTTTTTTTTTTTTTATTATGTACTATTATTAATAAATTATTTATTATAAAAAATTTTATTACTGAATCTAAAATAAGTTGTGCATTAATACTTTAAATCAGTAAAATAACACATTCCAAAAAGTTTCATTAGACAAGATCAAAAATTAATAAAGATATAAAACTTATTACCTTATCTTCATATTAAAAAAAGTATTGAATATATTATAAGTAAAACTCATAAAGCAACTTAATAAAAGCATACAATATTGACTGAATATGGCATAAAGAGTCTTAATATAAAGTATGAAAGAAGAATACTTTTATTTCTAAAAATACTATTTGATTTTTAAAATGATTTGAATTTCATATTGAATATAAAATATATAAAATATATATATATAGAAAATGAATAAATTTCAACAAATTGGTAAAAAATTTTGGAAAGCTAAAAGACTTGATCTTTTGGAATGGGTATATGATAATAGATATAAAATTAATTCAATTGTATCTGGCCCGGTAAGATATAGTAATATATTTGCAAATGAACAATTTATGAGATGTTTAGAGAGTAAATAAACATTTAACAATCTTTAATAATTAATATATATATATTAAAATATATATATATTATCTATTAACAATCATTTGATAATATCCAAATAATATTATAATATATAATAACTAAATTTTTAAAAAATTAATTATAAAGTTATATATTGTAAAATTATTTTTTCATTATCAAACTTAATTTTTGTTGAACAATATAAAGATATTATTTATTACCAATTAATTCTGAATCGAATCATATATTGTTTTCAATATCGTATTGAGAATACAATTAAAACTAATCAAAAAATCCTGAATAACATTGTGTAATCTTGTCAAAGCTTTATAAAAATAAGATTTTTTTTTATGTTTGATTAAATCCCGGTTTGATAAAACCTTCACACATAGATTCCTTTTAAAATTATGAACCAAACGGCTTAGTTACTTTTTTAAATTAATTCAATTTTGATATATAAAAATAAAAAATAGTTATATTGATAAACTATAAAATTTAAAAAAAAAAAAAAAAAAAATTTTTAAAAAAAAAATATATGCCGGATATATAAAATAAAAAAAAAAAAAAATAAAAAAAAAAAAAAGTTTAGTATTTTTTTATATTTTCTAAACAGTACAGCTTAGTACCATTTTAGTGATTCTAATTAAACTTTTACCAATTTATGTATTTAATAATACAGTTTCTAGATGTACTACTTTTATTCGATCCCCTATTTGTTTTTAATAAAAACAATATACAAAAGTTATTATAATATAAAAAAAAACTTAGTTTTTTTATGAAAAAATGAATGTTTTTTTTAAAGACTGTAACTGCGATAAATATCGATTATACGAATCGATAGATAATTAAAATATGAGTATAATGATATAAGTTTTATAATACCGTATTTTTGTTTGTTCAAATTTTTTTGACTTTTAAATTTGAATATAACATAATTACATATAAATTTTTTTTTTTTTTTTCAAAGATTGTGATAATCCCCCTATTCAATGAAACCTTTTAATAATAGACTCTTATAACAATTAAAGTTTAAATACAAAGTTTGGCTTTGTCAATCCTTATTTTAACATACATCTAAAATGTAATTTTTATAGAAAAATGTCTGACACTAAAAATTCGAATAATGATAATAGAAAATATATAAAATTTTAAATTCCTTAAACAAAATCTATATGGATGATCATAACTCGTTGAGATGTATCTATTTATACTTGTTTCGATGATTAAATTCAGCGTCTAAGATTTATCTTTTTTTTTTTTTTTTTATTATGTACTATTATTAATAAATTATTTATTATAAAAAATTTTATTACTGAATCTAAAATAAGTTGTGCATTAATACTTTAAATCAGTAAAATAACACATTCCAAAAAGTTTCATTAGACAAGATCAAAAATTAATAAAGATATAAAACTTATTACCTTATCTTCATATTAAAAAAAGTATTGAATATATTATAAGTAAAACTCATAAAGCAACTTAATAAAAGCATACAATATTGACTGAATATGGCATAAAGAGTCTTAATATAAAGTATGAAAGAAGAATACTTTTATTTCTAAAAATACTATTTGATTTTTAAAATGATTTGAATTTCATATTGAATATAAAATATATAAAATATATATATATAGAAAATGAATAAATTTCAACAAATTGGTAAAAAATTTTGGAAAGCTAAAAGACTTGATCTTTTGGAATGGGTATATGATAATAGATATAAAATTAATTCAATTGTATCTGGCCCGGTAAGATATAGTAATATATTTGCAAATGAACAATTTATGAGATGTTTAGAGAGTAAATAAACATTTAACAATCTTTAATAATTAATATATATATATTAAAATATATATATATTATCTATTAACAATCATTTGATAATATCCAAATAATATTATAATATATAATAACTAAATTTTTAAAAAATTAATTATAAAGTTATATATTGTAAAATTATTTTTTCATTATCAAACTTAATTTTTGTTGAACAATATAAAGATATTATTTATTACCAATTAATTCTGAATCGAATCATATATTGTTTTCAATATCGTATTGAGAATACAATTAAAACTAATCAAAAAATCCTGAATAACATTGTGTAATCTTGTCAAAGCTTTATAAAAATAAGATTTTTTTTTATGTTTGATTAAATCCCGGTTTGATAAAACCTTCACACATAGATTCCTTTTAAAATTACGAATTTTACCCAATTTTTTTAATCATTTCAGTGAGCAAAAAAATTATTAATAAAGTATAATTATTAAAATAATAAATTAAATAAATAAGTAAATAAACTATTTATAAAAGAACTTTCTTTTTTTATTTTCACTTTTTTTTTTTTTTTAATTTTTTTGAATATCTTTAGTTACACTTTTAAACTGAACTGATTTTTTAAAACTGAAAATCTTGAAAAAGTGATAAGCACTAAAACAACAACAACCAAGAGCACTTAAAACAACACCAACAATATGTAAAGGTGATGAAACAAATGATCCTGAAATAATATTAATAAATTCTTGTGGGATGCTTTAATAAAAAAAAATTTCAAAATTAATATTAACCCATTTTTCAAAATACCGCTATCTATAAAATATACTTACATTTGGAGTTGACTGATAATACCAACGGTAGTAGAGTACATACTCTTACTTAACCAAACGGTGCAAGTTTGATAAACCATTGTAATAAAAATACCAGAGATTAAAAGAAATAAGACATGAGTTGGTAATTCTGGTAATACTTTAAATCCATTAACCTTGTCAATGAAAAACATTGGAATTGCAATTGCTATTGAACCTTGTACAACTTTAAATAATGAGATCTAAATTTAAAAATAAAAAATTAAAAAAATTAATTTTAACTGTTTTTTTTTTTATGCAGATAAATATTATATCACCACCTACCTCTATTACTGTAATGGTTTCATCTATTCTATATAAATATGTACAAGCCCATTTCAAAACTACAATTGTTAAACTTTCAAAGAATGAAGATAATAAATTAATTATAATTGATTTTGCAGTACCCTCACCTTCTTTTGCAAAAACCAAGGATACTAATAATGTACCTGCTAATAATAATCCAATACTAAAATATTCAAAAATTGATGGTTTCTCTTTATTAATTAAAATTGAGAATAATACTACCCAAATAATCTATATTTATATAATTAAACTAATTAATATGTGTTGTGAAAATATGAATAAATAAATAACTAAATACTTACATTTGTGGATTTAATGACAACATGGTAATCAACTGGTACCATTTGAATTGCAAGATTTGTTAATATCATAACAAGAGCAAAACATAATGATACTGGTATCATAATTAAACTATAATTAAAAAAAAGAGGGTGGTTAATAAGAGTTTATAAATTTTTAATATTATTTATAATGTGCATTATTATAAATATATAATAATCAGAATCTATTTTAAAAGAGTATATGATTTTTTTTATTAACTATAATTATTATTATTATAATATACTATTTCGAAAAAAAAAGAATGCAGTGAGGAGGATATTGAGTAATTATCATAAAAAAACAATATATTAAAATTGAATTATTAATATCAAAAAAAGAATAGTCTTGCTATCAAAAAATAATTCCAATGGACATCTGTATGGAATGTTTTTCTATATATACACAAATATAACCATTATCTTTGATTATTTTGCACCTGTATAGAAAATAAACACTCTGTTATATTAATATTTTCTTGAAAGCACCATTAACTTTACACATGACACTAAATATATCCAACTTTAACTGTTATATAATTATGCTGTATACCCTTAATCCTCTATCTCCCAATCTTTTTTTCCTAAAATAAAAATCCTTCTATTTATAATCATCATTATTATTTTTATTGCTATTATTATTATTATTCTAAATTGTTATAGTTGTCATTATTATTTACCTTTTTTGTATGAAATTTTTATCAAAGAAATAACTTTTTTGTACCAAATCATTCTTTTGGTATCTATACTGAATTAAATTGAAAATTAATAAAATTGTAACAGCACCTAATGTTTGAAAGAAACTTGATGTTAATGGAAATGGATATGGCCCTAAAATCGCTTTATTTAAAAATGGTAATCCAACCGCAATCTAAATTTATTATTGTTATATTGTGTTGTGTTAATAATTAATGAATGTAGATAAAAACAAATGAATTAAAAAAAAAACAACTTACTGATAGATAAACTAAAGATAAAAAAACAAATAACGAGTGGTATATAAAAAATTGGAAAAAAGGTGTATTAAGACAACCTTTTTTTTCGTTTAAACTTTTATGTTGATTTATTAAACTTTGGTATTCATCTATGCTATTATCTTGACCTGCACCAATACCATTATATTGTTCAAAACTACTATGATTATTACTATTACTATTTATATTGTGAATATCGGTATTATAATAATATTTATTATTGTTATTATTTGTATTATCTATATCGTTTCCAATATTACTATCAATATTATCATTACTGTTATTATTATTATTATTATTTTCTAAATCCATTTTATTATATATAATTTTTTTTTTCCCCGACTCCTTTATATTGTGCTAAATATTCGGTTAGTGATTAACACTACATATAAATATTTATTAATAATAACTATTATATATGTATGTAAGTTAGTAACCCACTTTATAAACCAATATTATTAGTACACATATATATATCTTTTTAATGAAATAAAAATGTTTTATAGATGATTTAAAAAAAAAAATGGTTTATAAAAAAATTAAAATAATTATTTTAATAAAAAAAAAATAAAAAAAAAAAATTATCAAAAAAAAAAGATTTTTTTTTTTTTTTGTTAAATAATAAAGATCCTAATTATTTATTTTATTAAATCCTAATAAATAATATTTCATACCTATCACTAAACCAGGATCAATATACACCAAAAAATTAATAAAAAAAAAATGAAAAAATGAAAAAATGAAATATAATAAAAAATAAAAAATAAATAAGAAAAATAAAAAAAATAAAAAAAATAAACAATCAAAAATTTTATTCAAAATAAAATGAAAAAGGTTATTAATTAAAAAAATAATCAAAATAAAAAAAAATAAAATGAAAAAGTTATTTTTAAACGGATAAAATTAATATTTTTTTAACACTCGTGTGTGTTAATATTTTAATTAATTTACATTCATTTTTTTCTATTTTAATTAATTTACATATATTTTTTTCTTTATTTATTTTTTTATGTATCAAAAAGGATATTGCATAGGTAGTAATTACATTGCAAAAGTTTAGAAATTAAGACAAGTTTTTTTAGAAAATAATTTATTTTATTTTTTATTTTTTTTTATTTTTTATTTTTTTACTATTTTTTTTTTAATTTTTTTTATTAAAACTAATTTTTTTTTTTTTTTTCTTTTTCTTTTTTTTTTACTCTAAAAAGTTAAAAAATAAACAAATAAAAATGTCCTCACAAGATAATAATAAAATTACTAATACTGCCAAATTCCAAGATGAGTTTGGTAAATTTAGTAAGAATTATAGTTCTTTTAGACCTCTTTATCCCGACTCATTGTATCAATTGATCGATGAAACTGTCGAAAAGGATAAAAGATCTTTAGCCGTAGATGTTGGTTGTGGTTCAGGCCAAAACTCAATTAGATTAGCTGCACTTTTTAAAAAAGTGATTGCTTTTGATCCATCCGAAGGTCAGATTACCAATGCTTTAAAACATGATAATGTAGAATATCATGTTGGTAGTGCTGAAAAAATTAATGTACCAGATGACAGTGCTGATTTGGTTACCGTCGCTACAGCACTTCATTGGTTTAACTTACCAATTTTCTTTAAAGAAACAGAGTAATATATATTTTTTTGAGGTTTAAAATTTTTTTTTTTTTTTTTTTTTTTTTTTTGAGATTGTTTTGTTTTCCCTTGTTTTGTTATTGAGTTTACATATGATACTTTTTTATATTGAAACCTAAAAATAATGCGAAAATGAAAAATAATATTTTTTCATTTATATTATAAAATAGCATTTTTTTAGTTTCATAATTAACACATGTATTATAAAATGTAAATTCATTTTGTTTTTTTTTTTGTTTGATTAACAAAGTTTTATAATGAAATAAATAAAATATTTATTTTTAATTATATACCAATATTAATCAAGTATATGTATATGTATGTGTATATGTATGTGTATATGTATGTGTATGTGTATGTGTATGTGTATGTGTATGTGTATGTGTATTTATGTTTATGTTTATGTTTATGTGTATTTATTTATAAAATATATGTATTTGTTATATATGTATTTATATTTATATTTATATTTGTATATGTATTTTGTATATTCATAAAATATATATTAATTATTGTTTTTTTTTATAGGAGAATCTTAAAATCTGGTGGTTTTTTCATTGGATTTACCTATGGTTTTCATGAAATTTCAAATAATGAAAAAGCCAATTTAGTTAATAGGGAATTACACGAAACTACAATTGGCCCAGAGTACTGGAACCAAGCCGTTAGAAAATTAGTTGATGGTGGCTATAAAGACATCGTTCCACCATTTAAAGAAACCAAAAGAACCTCACTTAAATTCCACACTAGAGTTTCAATCGAGTCTTTAATTGGTCACTATTCATCATGGTCCGCATACAGTCAATATGTAAAAACCAACCCAGATCCACTCCCACAAATTAAAGAAAAAATCTTAGAGGCCTATGGTACCACTGATGATCAATCACCAATAGTCGAATGCGAATATACCATTTCAATTATAATCTCAAAAAAAGATTAAAGTTTAATAATCCAATCTCAAATTCTATTAATATTTTTTTTTTTAAAAATATATTAATCAATCACCAATTAACAAAAATAAAAAACTTAATTTATTTATAAATAGATTTATAACTTTAAAAGACTTTTATTTTATTTTGCATATTACTATTTTTATAAATAAAAATAAAAATATAAATAAAAAATAAAATGTAAAAATTTATTTTTTATTTTATTATTATTTTATAACATTTTGTTTATCAGTGATCATAAAATTAAAATAATTTGAAATAAATTAACAAAAAAAACAAAAAAAAATGGATAAATAATATTTTTTTTAAACACATAATTTTAAAAAAAAATAAATTTATTTTTCTTTTTTATTTATTTTGTTTTTTTTTCTTTAATTTTAAAAGATAGAATGTTTTAACGAATCACTAATCAAGAACTAAAAGTGAATTTAATTCAAAACATGTGAAACCCTAAATTTACTCTGGGATAAATTTGTTGAGCTATTGTCTTGGGATCAATATATAAACATAGTTCGACCGTAAAATTTATCCGATAAATTACAAATTGTTTAGAATGAATGAAATTTTTTAATATTTAGAAACTAAAAGTAAAGGAATTATGGGTATTTTTTAAAAACCAAAAAAAAAAAAAAAAATTTCAGTTTTTTTTTATTTTTCGTTTTTAAACAAAATTTTATTTATTTTTTTTTTTTTGTGGATTATTTTTAAATTTTTAAATGTTGAAATTAATTTTTAAGCGGAAAAATGGTATTGTTTTTGTTGACAGTGATACTAAAATTAATTGATAATGTTTCAAAGCTATCATTGGATAAAAAGCCATTTCTTCTTGAAAGATCAGATAACTTTGAAACTACATATTCTATATAATTGTCTTGTTCTTCATAAGTTTTTTCAAATACACCTAAATTAAAAATAATTTATAAATATAAAATAATTTCAAATAGAGTAGTTTAAATAAAAATTATATATAATTACCTGAAAACTCAATCTTTTTGTTTTTTAATTTATCGATATGATTTATAACTTCGAATTCGCATCTAACCTTGGTTGGTATATTGTTTTTGTTGTAGAGGTAAAGCGTAAAGTGGTCAGTATCTTTATTGTTGAAACCATCTTTTCCTGTTAGTGATATGCCAAGATAGAATTTGTGAAAACCTATTTTGAAACTTAAAGATAAAATTGAATCAAATACACCAAAATTTCTAATCTTTTGTTTGAAATCTGATATTTCCCATTTATTTCGGTAAGATTCTTCATAGTTTGTAAAAATTCTATCAATTACTTTAAAATTTTTAATTAGATCAAGGCATCTTTCATTTGATTCTTTTAGTTGTTCTTTATATTGTTCAATTTCTTCTTCTTGTAGATCTATTATTCTCTTCATTGATTCTGAATGGTCGACTTGCTTTAAATGATTTGATAGTTGATTTCTTTTGTAAACAGATTGGCAATCACCATATTTGCATTTAATGATGCCCTGCTCACATGTGTTTTCAATGTGGTCTTTTAAATAGCACCTTTTTACACTCTGGTTACACTGCACACAAACTATTAAAACCGATGGGCATACCTCTGTGTGATCAGTTTCCTCTATTCTCTTGATTTTGGTTTCGCAATCTCTACATGTTATTCTTGCAAATTTGCAGATCTCTTGATGCTTTTCTATCTTATTGAGTCTCACTATTTCATCACATCCGAAATTGCTGCACTCGACGAACCTGTAATTACATTTTTCTAGGTGATTATTTAGTTGCTCCACTTTAAATGTTTCTTTACACCCATTATCCAAGTCAAAAAACAACTCTACATTATTTTGCTTCTCAAAATCAGCTTCATCTGGATTACACCATATATTTGAAAATGAATATGGACAATGGATTTTCTTACTTTGAATCATTAACTCTAAACCTCTGTTTCTTGATAGTTCATTAAAAGACCCAATCTTCTTTCTACAACTCATACAGTGACTATTATTTGAGTTTATAATCTTTTGAAAACATTCTCTACATGCCCAATGTCTTTAAATAATTATAAATATTACCATTTTATTTTACAAGATTGTTAATATTAATAAAATGAAGATTACTTACCCTTCACTACATTGATAAATTTGTTTCTTGAATAATGGCTCATAACATACTGGGCATGAATATATATTTGAAAATAATTCTTTTTCGTCACAAACTAAATCTATTATATCATATTTAATTTTAATATTTTCCATTATTATTAAGTATTTATAAAAAAATTAAAAAAACAAATAAAAAAAAATGAAATTAAAAATTTAATTTAAAAAAAAAAAAATATAAATAAAAAAAAAAACAAATAAAAAAAAAACAAATAAAAAAAAAAACAAAAAATAAAAAGGGTATGATATGATTTATATAAATTTATGCTTATATTTGATTTATAACTGGTTTATAATTTATTTTAAAATAATGTCTATCATTTGATTATTAATTTTATTGAAAAAAAAAAAAAAAAGATTTGAATAAATTGATTTAAATAATAATTTAATAACATTTAATTATTTAAAATACAATATAGCATTGGGATATTAATTTCAATACTACAATTTATTATATGTTTTTTTTTTTTTTTAATTCTGTCCCCTTTGAAAATCTCTGCCTTTCTATTTTTAATTAATGTTATTGCTATAGTTTATTATTATTATTATTATTTTTATTATTATTATTATTATTATTGTTATTATTTTATTATATTATTACCTAAAATTTGTTTATAAATAGTTTTTTCATTTAATTTATATTTAAACTGAATCATCATGGAATGACCAACGAACATCTTTTGGTGATTTTCCTTGTACTCTTGAAACATATTTTAAATCATCTATTGGACGTGTCTAATTTTTGAAATTATATAAATTTAGTATTTAACTATTGGGAAGTGTATTTAAAAAATTGTCATTGCTAAAAATTATTTTTTATATTATTTAATAAAACTTACTTTTTCTGTGCAACTACTTAACATACTGAGAATACTTAAACAAACTGATGAAACTGTTAATGCTGGACTCCAATTATCATATACTATATTGGAAATAAAGAATTGGATGGTTATTAGAGGTCTATTTAGAGAACTATATACTTTGATCAAAAAACTTACAAATTGATAAACAAATATGACCATTACTATAAATATGTGGATGGATTGGTGGTGGACCAATAAAAATAACTTCAGGTGATTCTAAAGGATAACCTGGAGAGAATTTAAATTGTAAATTAAAAATTTCACCTTCATAAATTGAATCTTGTGCTCCAAAAATTGCAATAACCCATTTATCTAAATTTTCACCCTCCATTACTGAAACACCAAAAGGTGGATTACTCTTTAAATCTAATAATTCTTTTTGTAATCTTTTTGCGTAACGTGAAGCCATTGCTAATTTATAGTTTATATGTATATTAATAAATATATAGGTTTATATATGTGTATATAAAAAAATTGAGAACTTTAAAGGAAATGGAAAAAGAGAGTGTGATGTTTATTTTTTAAATTGTTTTTATTATTTTCTCTTTCTTTTTTTTTATTTTTTTTTTTTTTGGATTTAAAAATGGTTGTAGTAAAAAAAAAAAAAGAATAATATTATTAAAAATAATTTAAAAAAACAAAAAAAAAATTAAAAAAAAAATAAAAAAAAAAATTAAAATATTTTATTTTTTTTTAAATTATATTTTTATTTTTTTAAAATAATTTGTCAAAGATCTTAAAATAGTAATTATTTTAAAATTTAAATAAAGAAAAATATTAAACTGGTTAATTTTTTTTTTATTACAATTATTATAAAAGTTGTATTTATTTGGGTTTTATTATTTAATTATTTTATTATTTTTATTATAAATTATTATTCTAATCTTTGAATGATATGAACACCTGAATCAGTGTCTACAATATCTGAAATTTGACCAACTTGTAAACTGAATGAACAGTTTTCAAATGGTTTTTGCATTTGACCTCTTTTGAAATGACCTAAATCCCCACCTCTTTTAGCACTGCTGCAATCTGAATATTTTTTGGCTAAATCTTCAAATTTATTTTTACCACTATCGATCATTTTTTTGTACTCTAAAAGTTGAGCAATGGCCTCTTCTTTGGTTCTAGTGATGTTTGTTTCTCTCCATGATGATGGGTTTCTTGAACCTCTGTGTTTAACTAAAAGATGACGACAACGTACCTCTTGTAAAGTTGGTGCTCTAACTGGTGCTGTATTTTTTAAAACAAATTGTTTTGAAGAGGATGCAAAACTGAATGTAAAACCCTCTTTAACTGTTGTTGGTGTTGTTGGTTTGATTTTTTCATTATTTACCATTGTACCTTCAGCTAGATGATAGAAATAAAACAATATTAGTTATTTATTAATAAAATGATCACAATGTGTATTCAGTATGTAAAATATGAACGTACCTGAATTTAAATCGATCAAATAAAATCTATCATTTACACCATGATAAACTAAAGCTGCATGTCTTCTTGATACTGATGGGTGATCTAAAACTACATTTGAAACATCTGAATTTCTTCCAAAAACAGTGTATTTTTCTTTTGATATATCAATTTGGTTAATAACCTCACCATTTTTATAAACCTCTAAAAATGCATTGGAAATTGGAGTGGATGCCCAATCTGGACATTTAAATTGAGGAATTGGTGTATTATCTTCATCTTGGTTATTATTATTATTTTCCATTATTGTTTTTATTATATTTATTTGTTTGTGTGGGGTTTAAATAAAAAAAAAAAAAAAAAATTTGATGTTTTTTTATTTTTTTTTAATTTTAATTTTTAAAAAAAAATTTTTTATTTTTTTAGAAAAAACACACATTTTAAAACAAAATTAAACCATTTGATTTTTTTATTAAAAAACTAAATAAAAATATTTATATAACAAAGAAAATTATTTTGATTTCCTCGCGATTTGGTTATTTTTTAATTTTAAAACTTTATTAGGATATATTTAAAATTTTTTAATCTAATTTAGCTTCAAATGTAATTCCCCTTGGAAATTACTTTCCCACAAGGAAATATGTTGGCATTTGATTTGTAACAATATCAACTTTACCCAACTCTACATCAAAAATAATAATGAGGTTAAGATATCCTAACTATTGGTTAAATTTAAGATATGCTAAAAATAGAATTTTTTTATACTTAATCTTAAACTAATTCATATATGTTTTTGGGAATTGTATAATATATTTAAATAATTTTTTTATTTAAAATATAAAAAAGTTTCCAAAAATATCTTTTTTTTTTTTTTTTTAATAAAAATTTTATATGAAAAAAATTCAATAATTATTTTTTTTAAAATTTTTTTTTTTTTTTTTTTTTTACTTTAAATTATTTTTACCCCCACAATCAATCTATTCATATTAAATAAATAATAACAAAATGGATTATGACAGTAATAGAGATAAAAAAAATAAATATTTTGATGAATATATAACATTAAATGTTGGTGGTAAAATTTTTCAAACTACACTATCCACATTAACATCATGTAAAGATTCAGTGTTGTATAGAATGTTTAATAAAGATGATGAAAACTCAATAACCAATAAGATTCAAATTAGTCGTAAAGATTCAAATGGTGCATGGTTAATGGATAGAGACCCAGAATACTTTAGAGTGGTTTTAAACTATTTAAGATCCCAACCAACTAATCCCACAGATTTAATCATTGATAACAACATATCAATCAAAGGCGTTTTACAAGAAGCAAATTACTTTCAGATAGACCCATTGATTGATTTATTAAATAAATTGGAGACTCAACAACCAGATTTTACAAGAAAGGAAATTTTGATTTATAAAGGAACAATAAAGCTAACAAAAAAGAAACTAGTATTTATTTACTATTATTTTTTATTAGTAAATTTATCTATATACTAAATATTTTTTTTCTTTATAATAACAGTTTAATTTAGATTTATCAAATATAGATTTTCAAAAAGAGAATTTTTCAGGTAGTTTTATTACCAATTGTATTTTTAATTCATGTATATTTTTAAACTCATCATTCTTTGGAGTCAGTGGTGAAAACTGTCAATTTATCAAAGCATCAGTACCCAACACAATATTTTCAACATCCAATTTAAAGGGCTCAAATTTCTCATCGTGCGATTTAGGCCATGCAAGTTTCAACAATTGTGATTTAACAAAAACTATATTTGATAACTCTAATTGCACCGGTGCATTATTCCAAAGAGCAACCATTTTAAATGGTTCTTTTAAAAACTCAAATTTAGAGCACGCAAAATTTCAAAAAGCAAATTTAAGAGGTTGTGATTTTACAAATGCTCAACTCCAAAACTGTCATTTCACATCCGCAGACTTAAGAGATGCTAAATTTAATTGGACCAAGGTATCTTTTGGTCTTTTCAAAAAAGCAAAAATCACCCAAGAACAATATAACTCTATACCATTGGAAAATAAAGCAAATTTAGGTTTTAAAATAATATCTGATAATGAAGCTTTTGATCAATTAAAAAAAATTAAAAAACAACAACAACAACAGCAACAGCAACAACAACAACAACAACCAAGTAATAATAACAGTACTACCAATAATAATAATAATAATAATGTATCAAATAATTTAAATAATAGTGTAAACAATGTAAATTCAAATAATAATACAACTAATAATATGAACAATGTAAACAATAATAATACTATGAATAATAATATGAATAATAATTCTATTAATGTAAATAATGATCAAGAATCATCTCAAATTTAATTTTGTAAAATAATAAAAAAAAAAAAAAGAAAAATAAATAAATAAAAAAAAAAATAAAAATCTTGCTGGCGACATAAAATGTTTAAACATTTAAAACCGAATCCATTTCGAATTTTTTTTTTCAAAATAAAATTTTTTTTTTTTTCATCCATTTTTCATAATAATCTACATTTTTTTTACTGCAAATGCGGATTTTTTTTTTTTTTTAATTTATTATTTTTGATTTTTTTTCTTTTTTTTTTAATTTATTATTTTTTTTTTATTTTTTTTTTTTGTTTAGCTACCAGCAGTAAGCAAAAAATAGATATATATAAAACATCAGTTTATATATAAATAATTAATCCTGTACATATAAAACTTGTAAATAATATATTATTTCAATCCTTTTTTTTTTTCATTTAAATATACATAAATTAAAAATGGCTCAGGGACCATACACAATAGATCCAACCAAAGAACAAAAAAATATAAAAACAAATAAAAATCCACAACACACAAGTATAAATATAGAAAATCTCAGTTCAACAGCTGATGGTTGGTTCCGTATAGTGTCAGAGGTATGTGTATATTAAATTAATATTTGCATATTATTAAAAGATTTTTTTTTTTTTTTTTAAAAAAAAATTATATTTTGATATTTTTAAATAATGTAATAATGATTCTAATTTTTATATTTCTTATTTTTTTTTAATATAGTCATTCCCAGCTGAAGAAGATTTCATTGACCCAAATCAAAAGTTTCAATTAAAAAAAAAATATAATGGCCACCCAATCACAATTGTCAATTTAGGAAAAACACAATTAAAAGTTTCAGCTGAATAAAACAAAAGGAAAAAGATAAAAGATAAAAGATAGGAAATTTAAAAAATAAATAAATAAATAAATTTTGTATAGAATATAAAAATTGTAAAATATAAAAAACCTAAATCCAATTTTATTTTTTTCTTTTTAATAACACTTTTTTTTTATAATTTATTTTTTAATTTATTTTATATCTTTGAATAACATTTATCATTTAAATAAATTTATTTGTTATTATTAAATTTTTTTTAATAAATCTAAAATCAAATAAAGTTTTAAAAAATATTTTTATTTATTTTTAAAAAAAATAAAATTTTTTTTTTTTTCATTTTTCAAATTTTTTATGAAATTGTTTTTTTTTTTTTTTTTTAAATTATTTATGAAACTATAAAATCAATGTATTAATTAATTAAAAATCCTATCAATAAATATATAACTATGGCTATTTGCTATTATTCACCATTATCAACATAAAACCATATCAATATCACCCCTATAACCGCCATTATCCACCTCATATATTACCATCGTATAGAAAAAATACCTACTATATAATATGAAATGCAAAAAAATTTCAGTTTTATATAATTTCCATACAACGTTACCTCATTTGGAAAAGAGGAAAAAAAAGAAAAAGAGCATCAGTAACTTCAAAGCTA